CACCCATCGTCTTCCCTGTCCACTCTGCGATGTTGTTCTCCCATCTCCTTTTTGCCGTCCTCTCTTTCTCTTTCCTTGTACGGTTCCTTGTAGGACTATTTTGGCAAGTACTGTGGATATTAATTTTGGTCTCTTCTCTTTGGTCAGTAGATCTTCATGCTGCCCCACTGCGTTGGGGATTCTGTTCCGTCCCTCAGCATTTCAAATGTGGTCTTTGTAAGAGATGCCAAGGAGTTTGCGGTAACATCTCATCTATGTTGTCTGAATCCTTTTCTCCAATTCTGCTGTCAGTGTCCACGACTCACAAGCGTATAAAAATATTGAGATGACCAGTGAACGCATTAGTCTGATCTTCGAGTTGAGCGTGACGTTTCTGTCCTTCCAAATAGGCTTCAGTTTTGGCAACGCAGCTGTTGTTAACGCGATTCTGGAGAGAATTTCTTGTCTTGAGCCTTCATCTGAGACGATTGATCCAAGGCATTTGAAGCTATTGACGGTCTCAAGTTTTCACCGCTGACTTTGATGTCCGCGGTGATGCCATTGCTTTTATTGGTCATTAGCTTGGTTTTCTCGGCACTGATCTCCATGCTGTATGCCGCTGAGGTTGTGTCAAGCCGCTCCACTTGTGTGGCGAACTCCTGTTCCTCTCATGCTAATCCATCGATGTCGTAGGCAAAACGCAACCATTACTAGATCTGCCTGACGAAATAAAAATGTACCTGTTCAACTAGTTCATGAGAAATCGGGTATTGATTAAACTGGTCCAAAAGGACGCACCCTAGTTCACACATCAAACATTGTCACGTATTTGACGCACGTTTTAGGCGAAATAATGTGTTATCTTTGTGTGTGTGTATGTGGTGCATGTGTTTGTGTGTGTGAGTAATTTTGTATGTGTGTGTGTTTGTGTGTTTGTTTGTGTGTGTGTGAGTGTGTGTGTGTGTGTGTGTGTGTGTGTGTATTTGTGTGTGTGTGTTTGTGTGTGTGTTTGTGTGTGTGT